TTTTTTTTTTTTTCGACTTGTAAGTTTAACGTTCTTGACTCACTATTTAAACGAAATATTATCAGGCGTTACGAAAGTGGGTAGCCGCAGAGTTATTCAATGGGCATGTGTCTTGATGATTCTCCAAGGATTGATTAGTAAATTTGGCGCCGTTTTTATCATCATCCCTGAACCAATAGTCGGTGGAATATTTTGCGTGATGTTTGGAATGATTAGTGCCTTTGGTATATCGAAATCTATTTTTTTAAATACAATTATTTTATAGTGAAAATAAGAAGAAAACAAGACAGATATGATATTTTCAGGTCTCTCTGCGTTACAGTACATAAATTTAAACTCAGCAAGGAATTTGTACATTCTTGGATTCTCCATTTTCTTTCCACTGGTAAAATAATATGTTCACTAATTATATTTTCTTATTAATGTTTAAATTAATAAATAATTGATTATATATCAATTGCATAACTGTTTAAAGTCGTAGTTGTGCCTGACTTACGAGAGTAATTGAAATCTAAATTATTCTCATGAATTTTCAGGTTTTATCTAAGTGGATGATCAATCACTCAGGTGTAATACAAACCGGAAACGAAATAGCCGATGGAGTAATTACCGTATTACTTAGCACGACTATCTTGGTAGGGGGTGTAGTAGGATGTGTATTGGATAATATTATACCAGGTGAAGTTTATATAAAAAATATTATTTTTAATTTTTAAAGATCAATGACGCAACGTGTACGTCGTGCCACGTCTAGACAAAATGATATATATTAAAAGAAACGTTCTGAATGGTTTTTTGGCTAGATGCCTTTTAAAAAAATTAAAACAAGTTTCATTTTCTAAAACAATGAAATATGCATTCATGACTATTATTAATTTTTTAAGGTACACCTGAGGAACGTGGACTGATCGCTTGGTCGAAAGAAATGGAGTTAGATACCGGAACAGACGAGAAAAAAGATCAAGAATACGTACCTAATACGTTCGATTTTCCGTTTGGAATGGATGTTTTACGAAGGTAATTTTCTAACAATAAGTAATATCTTTCTTAAATTTACACATCTTTTAAGTGATTTCAAATTTACTTCATTTTCTTCTTGCAGATGGAAATGGACGCAATACGTACCATTTTTACCGACATACAAACCTGGAATTTACTCATGTAAACAGAGGAAACAATGAGTATTTTTTTGATTTTGCGTTACATGATAATGCATTGTTAATCACCATGAGGAAACTTGCGAGTTATGATATATTAGTGTATATATATATATATACACGGTACATAAATATTGAACGAGTCACTTTGCGAATGATGAATTGTTAATTGAATGCAAAAAAAAAGATTGTATTGAAATAACAGAATTTCTATGTAAAAACGATGAATTTAATTTTTTATTATCTTTACCTGCAAGATACATTGAAAATATAAAATTCATAAAAATTTAGGAAATTCTAGGGAAATAATTTCTGGTAGCGATGTACAGCACTCTACAAAAATAGCTCAAATTGTATATATGGCGCGAAATAGTTGCAAATAGTCTCACGTTCTTTAAATGTTATTTCTAACAATTCACGCAAAAACTAATAAATACAATCATGGCTGCATCCTCAGACGTTGCTACGGTATTGCATATGTGTATTATATTTTTATTAATATTTAACTTGCAAATCAATTGTAATAACATAACCTATACCTAACTTAAGATGTTTCGACCGGTTTGTTTAAAATGACTCGACAAAATGTCTATTTACCAAAATAATATAACTTATCTTGTAATAATTAAAAATGTATCACTTTTTATAAATAAATTTGTACATAAAGTATTATGTAAGATGTTTTATATTTGTGTAACTAGAATCTACGAATATATTGCGCATTCTAAATAAAACATTGGTTTTATATGTATAACATTATTTTAAAAATTCTATTAATATTTAAATTTGGTTCAAATTGTATAAGTCCATTCCAGAAAATATATATAATTATCTAATTTGTTTTATTAATTAACATACAGATCAAATTACAAAGATATTTGAACATGCCATTGGTTCAAAGATGCAAGGAAATAGCGACACTAATAGATGAATCGAGCACAACAGAATTACAACATGTGTTTTCAATATTAATAGACTCATTATTTGGAATAACTGATAATATTGGTTGGGGCTTACACAGCATCACTTTTAAAAAATGTGCATATGAATATGAAACACTTTGTAACTTCCTTAATCCACAAGGACCAGTTTTTTCTTTATGTTATAAATTATTGCCAGACTGTTACTTGAAATACAATTTTCCAGTTTCATTCTTACCAGTATGTAAAAAGATCTATATATTATTGATAATTATAGAATGAATAAAGATTAATTTTTTAATTTTTTGTTTACTTTAGATAAAGGTACGTTCAATGTTAGAAGAAGGAGTAATACCACCATTTTATTTAGACAAAATCAGAGATGATCAGGGTACACGTGGTGTATCTGCATTAAATATGAGTATCCTTTTGATATCTCAGCTTGAAATGATTTTATAAAATATTTTTTTTTTAATTTGCGTAAGATAAGTCCTTAATAGTTATACATATCCTTTTGAATATTACATCTTCCATTTTGCATATCATCTAACAAACCCATGGTTGCAAGTGCAACAGCAAGAGAATGTCTGGGTTAATTGGGAAACTGTTTATGTTCAATTAGCACACTGTTATTTATACCATTTTCTACCTAGAGATAATTCTTCGGTTTTGCCAATAATTAGTCCATATATTAGAAAAACACCTCAACGAAAATTGGTACAGTCACCTGAATCTAAGAGGTATTTGGAGAATAATAAAAGATATACCAAGAACAGATGAATGAATAAAATTATACATCTCTAGAATTAGACAATAAATCAATTTTCAATCAGAAATTATTACAGAATGCAAACACCACGACTATTGAGGACGTCAATATTATCACCAGGATCTCCGAATTCTCCTTCGAGCGTTCCACAACAACAATGTTTGCCAGAAGTTTGGAGAAGTGAGACTGTAGTTCAAGTATTTCTTGACTTTTGGGTAGAATATGTAGAGGATCCTCAATTAAATCCACGATTGAACACATCATATTCTGCATCCATTCCGCGTCGGGTAAGTTTACATTTGAAATTTTTTCATGATATATATTTATTTATTTATGCATTAATTATAGCACAGCATTCATTCCGGAGAGCACATACGTCTAGTGCGGGCATTTATAAAAACTTTACATGAATTTGCAAATAGCGCAACAGGCGACAAAAGTGCGATGGATGAACTTAAACGGTATATAAATATTCAGAAAGATATTAAACAACAAAAAATAGTATATTAGTTCCATAAAATATTTTTTATATTTTATTTGCAGAATTATTTTACCATCTGTTCAAGGCAAAATCTACACATTCCTTCGAAAAGCCATACATCATTGGCCACTAGATAGTTCTTTTAGATTAATTCTTGAAGCTTGGTTGAGCTTCATTCAACCATGGAGATACTTTTCTGGCATAACATTTAGCAAAGAAGGGTAAATAATAAAACTTTTGTTAACGTATTATTCTAACGTATTATTAGAAGTTAATTTTATCTTTTTATAGTAAAGTCGAAGAAGAAGAAAGAGGGAAGATACACGATGCATATAGATGGATGCCTTTCATCGCTCATAATTTGTTAGCCTACACGGCAATATTTCAACAACTACTTCCGCGATTTATGAGAACAGATCTTATAGCTCCAAAGAACGCATTGATGTTATTCAGAGTTACGAAAGTATGTTAAGTTTTTTCAGATATATGAATTGTATGTTAACACATATTTATTACACTTATTTTTAGGTTTTCTCACAACCATATTTAGCAAAAATAATATGCGAAATAGAAAGTCACATGGACGATGTTGGATTAAGCAGAAGTCGAGTATCTACAAATCAATGGGCTTCAACTGTACGACAGCAAATTTTAGAGCTCGAAGGACCGACATACCAATATGTTTTAATGTTTTCTATGGCTACTATTTCACAGGTACGCAACGTGAAGTGTATGTTTCAGAAATGTTTATCTTCAAATTCCTATTTTAGGTCGTATGTTTATTAAGCACAATTAAACAAGCACATTTGACAGCAACTAGTTTGGTCGATGCACTAGAAAAGAAGAGGAAAAATCGGCCATTTTTATTAACGTTATGGGAATTTTTTAACGGTGAAGATTATTCTTCAGATGATATTAGTATAGAGGAAAGACGTCGCGTACCTATTTATCTAGCAAATGCACAGCAACAATTAATTGAAATCTTCGAGGTAATAGCTAACAGATCTTTCAATTTTAAATATTGCGTAATATAATGTCTAATTTGTAATATAATATGTTTACAGATTAAAGTAGAAGACATTCCTCAAGTAGCTATTGAAGCTGATCAAGAATATCATGAAAGCATTCTATCAACATCCTTTTGTCATCAATCACAAGTATAAATTTGATTGTCTATCTAAAAATCTTCATTAATAGAGAAGTTCTAACTTGTCAACCTTTTAGATGGATTCTAGTTTAGATACAAGTAAACCAGGTATTTTTGTACCTGATCAAAAAGATAGACAAACGTGTAAATATATCGAGTACATGGGAGATCCGGAATTACAACCAGTTCGAAGTAACGAATGTGCATTTCTTGTTAGAAATTTATATAAACTCTGTACATACATAAATGTGAAGGTAAATATGCATTTAAGGATTCAGAATAGAATCATTGAGTTTCGTTGTCTTCAATTGTTTTTGTAATTATATGAATATCTATTGTGAACAGTATCGATACAAGATAACTAATATGTATCATCGAAGTGGTTTTCTTGGCAATATTTCTCGACAAATACTACAGTCACCAACGAAAGTCGTAAAGCTACCAAAACGAACACAGAATGGATTTTCTAGCGGGTATGAAGAACGCATTCCGCCTCGATTGAGTTTACGGCCTTTAGCTAATTACAATCTACTTGTAACTATAAGCCTTGGAACATTTATTGCTTGGTTTACAAAGTACGAAACATTCTTAATTTAAGTTACGATTACTTTTAGTAACCAAGATAGTGGAAGTAATATAACGCCGATTTATTTGTAGCTATGGAATCTTTATGTTTTTTGGATTCGTCTTTGTTCTATGGTTCGTATACATAATAATACGAGCAATGTTGGAGCCGTGGACACGATCGACCACATTCAGGGTCAATACATTTTCTGTAAATTGATCAGTCATAAAATTGTTATATTGTATATTGTATGAAAATTGATAATGATATTCCATACAATTTCAAATGTTTGAAATGTCGAACAATATTCAATACAAATTTTAATGTTTAAAATGTCGAATGTAATTTAAAATTAATTTAAAATAGATTATACATTTTCTTAAAAATATATTCTTTAATTTTCTTTAATTTTTGTCATTTAATTTTTTTCTTTTAAATACAAATGTGTTATATACATGATTAATCATAGATTAATTACAATTCACAGAAGTACGATATTTTTTAGTCGCGTAGCGGTGAAATAATGAATTAAGATCTATTGCTATCCTTGTTGCATAATAGTGCGCTCCTTGTCTGTCACACAACATAAATTTGTCCTTGTTTAACACTATTGCGTTCCTTGTCTACGATGGTGCTGCCTAACTACTTTTCATCTCTGACTGGAACTAAAAGGTTAAAAAGGAAAAATCCGATAGATGGCAGCACAACGCTCCTCTCACTAGATACTTTTGATGCTTTCCGATAGATGGCAGTGCCTATTTCGGAAATTAGAGACGCGCGTATTTTTAAAAGCGAGTTTAATAGTGACAACGCTGATTTAAACTGAAGAAAGAAGAACTACTATAAGATAGTAGAAAATATGTTTTGTATTCTCAGTTGTTAATAATCAATCAAAGCAAACAATCGTTATAAAATCTTGTTATACATTAATATTAATAAATAGTTATTGTTATAGTTTCTTGTTAAATTTCGTAATATATTTATTTAAAGGAGTAAACCTAAAAGAGCGCATTTTTTAAATTGAATATCAAGACTTGCATGTAATGGAGGATGAATGGGATTAAGGTTCAGGGAGCATCTCGAGCGTAGTCACCTCAGACCTGGTAATTTATATTGTTTTTCAAACATTAATCGATATCAAAACGATATCAAGTTAAGAACTATGCAACCGACAGTTCAGTTTAGGTTGTGCAAAATTTCCATGTGATTGAGAGTAAACTGAACTGTAGAAATAATTAGTTGATAAGTAAATTATTGGTAAAAAAAAAAAAATACGAATTTTCAAAGAGGAATACCTCCTAGATCTCGAGATATTTCCGCTCAAAAATTTTTCGAAAACCCAATGTATCAGGAGAACACGAGGCTTGAAGAGGTGGCATTTCATACATCACATCTGTGGTATAGTTCTTCAATTCGCCGTTGTTTGAGTATGATGATTTTGCGCTAGAAAAACAGGCGAGGTATATGCCTAGACTTTTAAAATATGAATTTGCATAAAAATTCGCATTGTTATATACAATCAGACATCTTATCAAATTTCAACTCGATCCAATTATCTCGAATTATTAAATTCCGTATGTGGTTGGTTAATTATATCAGCGTGATAAATTAGCTTTTGAAATCTTGTTGCTGTGAGTACTGCCAGAGTGGTTATTATTTAATCAATACTACAGATAACTGATCATTTCTGTCGATCGTATGGACTATATATGTATTGCGTCGCGTAAGTACGACAAGGTTCGTTAACGTTGATATTGTGAATCGGAAAATTGATATTGAACAGCAGCAGAGAAGTTCCAGATGAAAGGTACAGATAGGAGAAACTCGAAAGAAGGAGCTGATTATGTTCTTTCATTCTATATTAACCTTTTTCTTTTTAATCTCTCTTCATAACTATAATTTTTCTCTTGAATATATATTTGGTACGAACTATCCTCACGTGTACAAAGTAATTGTCCTTTTAATTAGGTCCCTGGCCTGTTGTCAGTAGGTTTTAACAATTTTTTCCATGTTTTCCTAGGTGGGTAGCACCTGAATTATCACACCAAGTTAACTACTCTACCTATATAGAGCATAATAAAACGTGCTACACAACGGAGCCAATTGAACCTTGTTAACCAAGTTAATTATAATTCCATTGTAATTTCTCGAGACACCAAAATGTTACCAGTTCTTTTATCATTTGTTAATCACTTGTAATTTTATTGACCCTGTTACACCTGAGAATAAAAAGAAACAATAAAAGAATTATTAGGAAAATAATTAAAAAGATATAAGATATATTTTTTATTGGAAAAAAGGAGAAAGAAATATTCCGGTCTTATTAGTTTCCTTCCATATCTTGTTACCTGATCAGGAAGTCCTCGTCCACTTCCAATCACATTAGTCGCGTTAAAAGTCAGACAGTTTAATGGCACGGGTGTGTTTATGTGTCGTGTAGAACATGACCTGTTTTCGATTCAGACCAATGCAAACTCGCATACTTAGCGTCGTTGTCTAGCCACGATTCATTCAACTTCGCGTCACAATTAAGGATCCTTTTGTGTCATGTCAAACGACCTGTTATGCGCCTGTTACATACAATAAGTACGTTTAAATTACTGAGAATGAACTCGTTCACTGTTCGTTAAGACATCTCCGTTTTGAGGAGGTGTCTTTGAGTAGTTGAAATCAAACGTTTTCAGTTACTTCATTGAAGAGAACTGATCTGTTAGAACGTGCTCGCAAAATCATAGATTATTCAAACGATTCTTTGCTTTATAATTGCTTATATTATCTCAATAAAATATCTAATTCTTTTGGCTCGTTACAGTTCATTTCGTTAAAAACTACTTTAATGAAAATACTTTAATGAATCATCAATTTTAGATTATGTTTCTAGATATGCACGTGCTATCTTTAATTTTATTTAAGTATTATTCTGGGATGTTTGAATATCGACAGTCAGCCATAAAACTTGCAAATTATTATTAAGTCATCTCGTAAGTAATATAGTCATTGGTTTTCTTATATTAAATGAAAGATCTGTTTGCACGTTTTTCTTTAAACAAATGTAAGAAACATTGGCAATATTTGAAAAATCGTCCAATTTTACTTAATGAATTGATGATTCATAAACTATCTAAAACCTTCTCTTTCATACAGAAAATAATTATTAACGATCTCTTTATTGTATCCTTTTATAACAAAAAGTCGAAAATCTATTGCATAATATTCGACAGAGAAATGCTTTCAAACTAGGACACAAGTCGCGCACGAAAAAGCTAAGTTTTCCATTTGAGAATTACTTTGCAAGCTGGCGCGAGAAATAATTTCACAAATCATTTGCTTAATCAAATCGAAATCTGCGTAAACAGCAAATAATTGATTACGGATTATTGAAATTAAAATTCGACGTTGTCGAGTCAACATATGTGTGCTTTTCGTTAATTTGCAAAGAAATTTAATGAAAATTACACATATACTACACTACACTATAATTCACAGGTGTTATTAATTAAGCTGCAATAAATTGTATCAACTTTGAAAGCATCACTTT